CACTTAGCAACCCCCAACCAAGATCAGAGCGGGAGGGAGGAGGGGGAATGCAGGGTGCTCAGAGGAGGGGCCAGAGTTGGGGAAGGGGCGGGGTTAGGGTGGGGCGGGGGTGGAGTTGGGGCGGGGGTGGGAGTGGGGAAGGGGCGGAGTTGGGGCAGGCCCCCGTGGAGTGTCCTCATTTTTCAGTGTTGAAATATGGTAACCCTAAATAAATGAAAGATATAGGTGGAATCGTCACTCATTTTGAACTGTCAGACCCTGAGCAGGAAGGAGCTGGGTGATTTTCACGGGAAACAGAAGCCTCAGGTGTGGGGCTAACACTGCATCATTTGAGTGGCATTACAAACTTATCCTAGACTATCAGCATTTTTTGTCACTTGACTTTTACTGTAAGGTACTGTAGCTTAAGTATGTTGCTCACACACTGTAACCCGGGGACCTCTTGATGCCAACTGGCACCAGGCATAAGGAGTACATAGGGGTTTACAGAGATCTCTACGTCAGCTATCTATGCAACAGTTTGCCAAAGAGTGGCATGGAATCTAGTGAGAGCCAGTACCTTACTGATCATCATAATCATTGCAATGGATAGATAGATGGATATTTAAGGAATTAGATATCTATACTGAGAATTATGTCCTTAAAGTTTGTAAGGTAAGACAGGTCACCAGAAGGTAACACCCCAGAAGGTAACACCCCAGTTCAGGCTGGTCATTGTGCTTCTCCCTGGCTGGTCATTGTGTATTCTGTCTCTCACAATTTAAGTCCATTGCATTACTGAGCCTAAATGAAGAAATTGTGAATTCACATAAGAAAAGGTTTGCAGGAATAAACAAAAACAGCAGGGCAGGAGTGTCATTTTCCCAGTAAAGACAATGGATTTTTGTAGTATAACTAGATGTACTGAGGTACACTGGGGATCTATCTTTTACTGAGGAGACAAAGGCCATGTCTACACTACCGCCGGATCGGTGGGTAGTAATCGATCTATTGGGGATCGATTTATTGAGTCTCGTCTAGACGCGATAAAATGATCTCCGAATCGACACCCGTACTCCACCTCGGCAGGAGGAGTAAGAGGAGTCGACGGGGAAGCCGCGGTGGTCAACTTTCCGCCGTGAGGACGGCCAGGTAAATCGAACTAAGATACTTCGACTTCAGCTACGCTAAACTGCGTATCTTCGATCGATCACCCCCTTCCCCCGCCCAGTGTAGACCAGCCCAAACTGTCAGTGCATTCTGTATTATGAAAGGAGGGTCACAGCCATCCTGGCTGGAAATCGCTGCAAAGAGGTTGGGTGAGCTAAATTTCATTGTACAAGACAGTATCTTATTAAGTAAGTCTAGGCTCTAGAAGACATGTTATGATTTTATTTTACATGTAACCATTTGTTTCCAATACTTTGACTTGCTATTTCTACTGCTCAAATCTCTATACTTCGTTAAATAAACTTTTACTTGTTTTCAAGTACGTAAGTCCTGTGTGTTAAATGGAACAGTGATCTGAAGGGAAATTGGTACGATGATGTATGCTTCTTCTTTGGGAGCAGCAGATCTGTGAATTCTGTGTCTAGTGGATCAGGAGCTGGGTATTTTAGAGGGATTGCTCAGAGGGCTCAAAGACTGGAGTGTGCCTATCACTAATCTGGAGTAGAGAGAGAGTGAGAGAGCAGGGGAGTGTTTTTGTTGCCCGTGTTGTAGAGCTGAAGAATGAAATTGTTTCTTTTGGTTATTACTGTTTTAATATTGTAACTCTTGTTTACTATTTGTCTTTCAACATTGTAAATTGTTCATTACCCTTGTTTTAATAAGACTCCATATTGTAACTCAAACTCCATTTTGAAATGCTCACTCCATTTTGTAAAACCCTGCTGTAACCTTCATTTTGCAAAACCCTGCTGTAACCTTATTAGTTTAGTTTAGATATGTGAATGAGGTATGCATGAATAATGGAATCAACTTCCAGCCCCAGCCTGTCCTGATAGAGTTAAGTGCAAACACCAATGGCTGAAGATGCAGACAACAGCCCTGACAAAGTAAGAAGAGTCCACCCTAAAAGAAAAGAACAAAGGTACAATTAAAGCAAGATCAAAGTCAGGTCCGAGGCTGAAAGTCTCGTCTGCAATTGACGGGTGATCAATCACACCGAACCCAGAGGCAGCGTGACACATCAAGACCTATAGACTCTTGATTCAAACTAAAAGCCTATTAAAAAGATAGGTGAGATGGAAGACTTTGGGTAACGTTCTGCTGCCAACACTGAAGGGCATCGGTGCATGCTCTACAGAGACTCGGCTCTTCCTTGTGCCAGGCTTTCCTGGCCAGTTAGCTGCCATGAGCTACGAACCCAAGCTGTGAAATTAAGCCACGGACTCAAGCTACGTTCAGGACTGGTAACTATCCAGCAGCTGCAGAACATCTGGTGTGTGTGTGTGTGTGTGTGTGTGTGTGTGTGTAGGTATTAGCTATTGGTTATAGATCAAATTGTTGTTATAATAAATGTGACATCTTGCCTTGTCCCCTGAAACGATCCTGTGTAGTTTTATCTGCATAACAGTGGCTGGTGGGGTTGGAGAGCTGACCCCCAGCAAGAACCGACAAGGCTTCCTCACACTGAGGGCAAGTGGTAGTGAGGTGCCTCACTAATCCGGGAAGTGTCACTCTCATACAATCATCTTGGTCATCAGCTAAACCACACGCACATTTCATGAGGAACTCAGGCTACAGGAGCCCAGCATATACATTTGAAAAGCTGGATTTAATCAATATAGAGGGAAGTACATTAAAAGGTGAAGAGAGCACTGGCGTATTCAGATCCATGGGTATAAATCAACATGAAAAGACATTCAAATAAAGACAGACAAAAAAGCAGGTGGTAAATACCCTTCTAGGTTTTGGATTTCGGCACACTTCATACAAACAATGGATCAAACACATTCTGTCAGGAGAGACTCTGCATTTCAGAATCTGTATAACATTTTGATATATATGGGATCTTATTATCAGATAGAAAACAGAATCAGTAGACATGACAACAGGTCTGGAAAGCATTAAAGAGACACATAAACTACCCAGATAGAGAGGCAACAGGACGCTAATGCATCAGCATCAATTAAATGATACTGCGTAAAGGAGAGCAGGTAAAGGCTGAAAAGGTTTTCACTGACCACTTAATGAGCAGAGGTGAAAAAATAGATGCCGATATGTGTTTAGGTAAAAACAAAGGGTTAGATCCTCTGCTGGGGTACAACGGTGTAATTTCATTAAAGTCAATGGAACTACACTGATTTCCATGAACTGAGAATCGGACCAAACATAAATTAATTGCATTTGGCCTGATCTTGCAGGCTTTCCATAAGCAAAACTCTCATTCATGGAAATGGGAGCTTTGACTGCACAAGGATTGTAGGACTGGGTTTCACTTTTATCAAGTGACTGTGTTTAAACTCTTTGCCGTTCCCAGTGAACATTATATACTCTATCCCTTGTTCCACTATAAACAGGGTAACTTTCCAACCTCCTCTTTAAAGATTCTAGTTTCTAAGCTATTATCCCTCTTCTCCTTTCACTTACCTTCTTCAACTCCTCCTGAATATTTTTGCCATTTTCTTCTGAGGACAAACTTTCCTTCTGGGTCTCCGATTCTGTTCTAGGCTCTGACTCCTGCTCTTCACCAGAAGAGGTTTCCTTGTCACTCATTTTAGCAGCTAGTTCAAATAACTCGGATTTAAGCTTTTCCTCAACAAGGTCTGTCTTGATTTTATGGTGTTGATCCTCACTGCTTATATCAGCTTCTGATAAATCCTCAGAAACCTACAATGAAAATCAAAATAGCAAAAAATTCAAATAAAGTGCAAAGAAAAGAAAATCAACAGGGTTTCTACAAAGGCTACATTTAGGTTCACAATACATACAAATACATTTTTCTCTGTAGGAAATCTAGAAAAATACCACAGTAGGAATCTCTAGGCAGATAGATTTTTACTTCTGTGTAGACTATGCCCAGCATATTTACTTTCAGAAGACAATAATATTTCTCTTTTCTGCTCTTTTCCATATTACATGAAATAAAGCAACAGGTCCATAAATAATGAGCTCCCTCTGTGCAAATAATAAAACACTCTCATATTATAGCACTCTTCACCAAAACACTGTACAAAGGAAACCCATCATCATCCTCAGAGTCATTTTACAGATGAGGAAACTAAGACAGAGAGGTGAAGTGGCTTGCACAAGGTCACATGTTCAGTGGCTGACTTCAAGTCCTGTCTCCTAGCCAGGTCCTCTGACTCCCAGCCTGGTGTACTACCCATGGGTCTACACTGCTTCTTTAAGAATTATTGGAAACAAGTTCAACCTTTAGATGCACAATGTTTTCTTAGCATTTGATCCTGAAAGATGCAGAGCACTCATAGTTCCAGTTAGCTACAATGGCAGTCATGGTACTTAGCACCTGTTAGGATAAGGACTTCAGTCTGGAGACAAAATGGAAAAAGGAGAAATCCCCTCATGTAGTTATAAGTACTTTTGCTAGGATGTCTGCCCCACATTTTACAAAATGGAGACACTTCTGAGCACTGAAAGCTATCATTAAAAATGGAACTTTTCATCTCTTCCAGTAGGGATGAGAAGAAATATCAGATCACAATTCCCAGTACTAAGGATCCATCTACACGTCGAGATGGGGTCTGATTCCCAATGTGAGGAGACATTCTTGTGCTAGCTGTCATCCAGCTAGTGCACTAAAAATAGTGGTGAATGGGCTAGCTGCCCCAAGTATGTACCCGACCAACATACTCCAGTTGCTAGCCCCTCCTATGGTTTGTGATGCCATGAGTACGTTCTATTTTTAGCACACTAGTTCTATCAGAGCTAGCCCAAGTATGTCTTCTTGAGCTGGGAATCACACCCCTAGCTCAAAGTGTAGACGTAGTCTAAGTGTCAGGAATTCTTTGAAAAAGAACACAGTCATAGATCTAAATGTCTGGGGAGAGAGGATACAAAGAACGCAGATTCTAATCCACAAACAGCAACTGCACAGCACTTGGCATAAATAGATGATTGATGGCAACTCTAAGAAAGGAAATAATATAGATTATGACACTAAGAAAAACAAGCTAGGCAATCTTATTTACCTGGTGCTCTCCCACTGACAGGACTGGAGAATGCCAGGGAGATTAACAATCTGGATTCTTCGCTTCCATTCAAAAGAAACAGAACGGTAGATTTGTTTTGTGAGGCTAGTTTGTTTGCATTCCCAAATGCAGTATTCCCTGGATGTATCTACCGCTTGGAAATCTAAAAACTATGGTAATTTTGACATTTCCCTCATAACTTGACCAGTTATGCTTTGTTACTCATGATGGAAATCTTACCTTGCTGTGGAGCCCTTTCACAATTTTGTATCTGTCATTATTTGTGAGTACAAATGAGATCATGCAGCTCTCTAATTAATAATGCAAATCAGGTAGCTGGACATTTAAATGTTATAATTTGCACCCACAAATCTGGAGGTTGTTTTTGAAAATTAGGATCAGGGTACCACTGTTGCTGCAAAAATGGCTGCCACAATGGAAGGGGACTCCATCTGGATTTAATGGATTTACTAGATTAATGGATTAATTTTTCCACCAAAGCACCAGTTTTTGCACAGTGAATAGTTTTCTCATCACTTGAGCTTCCAAATTGTTCTGAACAAGATGGGGTTGCACCTGAAGAACAGAGCCTCAAATGGAAATGTTTCCACTCTATTTTTACAATGTTACAGTAGAACTTTCAGTATGTTTAAAAGACCGATCTCCTTCCAATCCTTTAATTCAAATACCTTCTCCTCTCCCTGCTCCGAAGACTTACCCAGCACTTGCACTAATGGCACCTCGTAGGAAAATGTCAACAGGAATGGTGAAAGATACAGAAATTGTGCAGAAATATTTTGCATGTCTGTCAATAGATTTGCAATGGAAGGCATGGACTCATATTGTCTCGACAATCAGAGTTTGTTGCTGAATCCCTGAATTTGAAGCTCGGAATAGTGATAGATATAATTAATTTGGGGCTAGGCAGTGTGGTTAATCATTGCACTAATATTTCAGATATGCAGATCTGTTTTCAAACACTGGTTAAGAGCTCAAGTGAGACATCGGTGGTCTCCATATACAGTAATAGAGACTGGACAATTTTGTATTCAAAGCCATCAGATGATTCTCTACAATCTAATCAAGAAAGGCCAAGACTGAAATTTCAGAAGGTATTGCCTGTTAGGACTGAGGTACAGTGGCAAAGCAGGTCTGAGGGAAGAATTTTAGACATAAGACTTAACTTAAGACTGCGAGTCTTTCATTGAGGTCACAGAAGTCACGTATTCTGTGCGTTTCCGGGACCGCCAGGACTTCTGCAGCGGACGGTGCGGGTGACCCGAGGGCTGCCCGAGCAGCTGGGGTGCCCCCAGAGCCAGCTGCACTGGCTGCTGCTTGGGAGGCCCCAGGCAGCTAGTCCCGGTTGCTGCCTCGGAGTAGTGGCGGGGCCCTGGACTGTCCCCCGCCCCCAAGCAGCAGAGACGGGGGCCTGGGTCACCCCCCCCAACAGCAGCACCCTGGGCCATCCCCCACCCTGAGCAGCAGCGGCGCTGGGGCTCCAGGCTGCACTCCCTTGAAGCAGCAGTGCTGGCGCGCCGGGGCACCACCCCCCAGCAGCAGTGGTGGCGTGTCGGAGTCCCCCCTCTCCCAGTGCAGCAGCACCGTCTGCTGGAGTGCACCCTCCCCAGCACCTGCAGCACCCTGGAGCCCCCCAGAGCACCTAAGATTTAGTCAGGGGTATTTATAGGACAAATCGTGGACAGGTCACGGGTGTGAATTTTTGTTTATTGGCCATGACCTGTCCATGACTTTTACTAAAAATATCCGTGACTAAATAGTAGCCTTATTTATACTATCCCGGCACAAGCCAGTGCTATTAAATCCTAATATTCAGGGGCACCAAATTCACAAATTAGTTTAAAGAATCCATATTGAGGTTGACTGGACCAGATGTCCTTTTGATACTGAAAATACTACACCAGCCTTTCAAACCAAGAACTGCAGCACTTAAAACGCTTGCTCTCTAAGGACCTGATCCAAAGTCCATTGAAATTAGTGAGAGTCTTTCTAGTGACTCCCATGTGCATTGCATCAGGGCCTAGCAGAGCAATTCAACCAACTAGCCCACAGGGGTATTGGCTTCATTAGGGAGATAAAAGGGTGTGTGTAAGTTGAGCTGTCTAACTTGAGGTTAAAGCCGAGGTCATTTGTAGTTTTCACACAAGGAAGCAGACAAAGTTAAAGTCTACAGGGAAGCCTAGTCTTTAACTTGACCTGTTACATAGTGTAAAAGCTAAAAATTTGTTTTCACTAGAATTCACCTCCTGTTAGCTGATTTCACTTAAGGACACCTCCCCCCCCCCAGTGAAGACACAACCTCAGAGGATTGAGTTTGTTGAGATCATGGATGCAGCTATGCTTGCTGTGTACGGTTGCCAATTTTGGTTGGACATATTCCTGGAGATTTAATCACATCACATAATCTTTAATTAAAGATTCATCTTTAATTAATGGAGACTCCAGGCCAATCCTGGAGGTTTGGCAACCCTATGCTGTGCCATCCTTCCCCCGCTCAGCCTGTTGCTTTCTTGTGAGTAGCCTGAGTATTTATATTTGCGGCAATGCAGGGAGAATTATGTCCAATGTTGTACACTGTGGTCATTGTGTTGTTCGTAGGCTTCTTGGCTGAAACACTGAGCTTTTAACAAAGTTACAGTGAAAGTTTTGTGATGACATGATGCATTTTTCTGTATTTTTTTTTAAATCAACTGTATTTTTAGGGCAGGTCACTTTGAGGGCCTTGTCAACCTTAACAACAAACCAACCAAAAATGTACTTTCTTCTCTTGTATGAAAAGTTTTCTTCAGAGTTATGCAGTGGTAGTTTACAGTTCACATAATCTAGCCTAGTTTTATACCATCTAATGTCCCATCTTTAAAGTCAATGTATAAATTCACACTGGCATGTATCAGCAACAGATATACCTATTTGCAGAGGCAAGTACTAAGGGCCACATTTTGCTTTGTTACACTTGTGTAACTGAGAATAGGACTTGGCCCACAGCTTCTAAACTATAAATGTTTTAAGAAAATGAAGTGTACCTTTCCCACAAGATATTCTGCAAATTGCATGTAAAATCATCATCAAGTCAGTGTAATCAAAACAAAATATGCACAAAAAAGGAAAAAAGTGAACTCAGTAGTGCTAAAACAAAACTAAAAACATTCAAATTAAATTCTTCCAAGACAAACCAATTTCAAATAGCAAAAGTAAACCCAAATTATACTGTAACTAATTAAGAAAAATACCACAAAAAAATGGGCGTTGCTATAATCAGTAACTGCACTGAAGTTCACATGGAAAATGAGGGCCTACTCTCTAAATGAGGGCAAAGACATCGTATAAAATGTTCACTTTACTGGTACTTTTCAATGTTTGTTTGCACTTAGAAGTCCCATATTTCCAATAAATGAATCACAAGCGCCATCTAGTGGGGCTTGAAATTCAGAGCACACACTTCAGAGTAGCAGCCGTGTTAGTCTGTATCCTCAAAAAGAACAGGAGTACTACAAGTACTACAAGTACTCCTGTTCTTTTAGAGCACACACTGTATCCCGCCTTCACTTATAGCTTTGTCAAGATAGCATAGAACTATATGACAAGATTTTAATTAATGGATAATGCCATTTTATAAGAGCAATAGCTGACTTCATAATGAAATTAGGTCAAATTAATCTAAAGCAATCAAGTACTGTAGTTTTCATCATACAATGATCCCAATGGAATTAAACACCATTATTATTCTCCTCAAAATATAAAGTGAAGTTAAGGTTGAAGATTCATATAAGTGGTTTGAGTGCATATAATTTTTCAAGGCTATTAGTTAAAAATAGAATTAGAACACAGAGATAAGGGTTGTACTTCCCAACCAAGACAGCCAAATTATCTTAAGTCTGCTCTGTAGAGATACTAGCCTACCATCAGGGCCGGCTCTAGGTTTTTTGCCGCCTCAAGCAAAAAAATTTTTGGCTGCCCCACAGCCCTGTGCTCTCCCCTTCCCCCCCACCACCAGGGCCCTCTCCCACCCTCTGCCGCCTCAGTCCTGGGCTCCCTCCCGCAAATGTGACCTCGTTCACCACAGCGATTCCCGTTTACACTTGCAGTCAGGGCCGGTGCAACCTATTAGGCGACCTAGGCGCTTGCCTAGGGCGCTAGGATTTGGGGGGTGGCATTTTCTTCAGTGGCGACCACGGCGGCCGATCTTCGGCCGCCCCAGTCGTCTTCGGCATTTAGGCGGAGGGAGCTGGGGCAGGGGGCCGCCTGCAGCAAGTAATGGGGGTGTGTGTGTGTGGCACGCAGGGGAACTCCCCGCCCCAGCTCACCTCGGTGCAACTGTATCGGCACTAGTGTTGTGACTAGTGGAGCAGCAGGC